ATATATATATATATATATATATATATATATATATATATATATATATATATATATATATATATATCATGAAATTATTTAAATTTTAGGGTAAATATATATGTTTTAATTCTATGTTAATAGTAAGTTTATGGGATTGAATCTCATTTTCACTTCTTATCCTTTGAAAAAAAAAAATCTAGAATTACTAATAAACATCTACTAAGCTTAGATTCGATAAACTTTGGAGCTACTGCCACTACGATCACTACTATCATAATCCAACAAAATAGGAGAGATGATGATCGATGATGATGCATCGAGTGACGTATATTGCGATGTTGATCTTGGTCCAAAGAGCAGGAAGGTGAGGTGTGTTAGCTTTTTTTTGGTGTCTTTTGGATGAGCATCTTTTGAATGATCTCAAGTACTATGATATATTACTCAAGCAAAGAGAGAGAGAGAGAGAGAGAGAGAGAGAGAGAGAGGGAAAATTTTAGGATAAAATTTTGGAATATTGAGCTAATAATGTAATGTGGAGAATGGATACTGAAAGAAAGGCTGAGAAGCAAAAGAGTAGTAGTGATTTGGCCACCCACCCACCCGAGACAAAGCCCCACGAAACACGGTATAGGGTTTGTCTTTGTCCAAACCCTAAACATCACTTTCTGCAACAGAAGAGACTCTTAATTAGTGAAGACTTCATTTGAGCTTTACTTTTCTTTCGGATGACAACAAAGGTTATTAATGAGAGTAGATGATTATAACTACTCAAACCCGTCCTTTAATTCTTTTCCTCCTCCCATGGATTACAACCTTGTCCTATAGATTCTATGAGTCACGAACAGCGAGTGCATTAGCTACTTTGTAATCTCTCTCTCTCTCTCTGTGTGTGTGTGTGAGTGCTCAAAATACAATTCAAACTCATGGGAACAAGATGGTTGAGAGAGACAATAGTTTAATCCTAGTGTCAATTCCTTTGAGAACACATGTCCCCAAGGAAGGATTCAAATGTTGTTTAGATTAGATTCCCCCTCCCCCTCCTAACCTTCAAGACAAGACCTCTCTTCTTCCTCTTGATGATGGTCTTCGTGTGTCATCATCTGGAGCAGTACTATTTTCTCGAGAAGAAACACATGCTGATCTTATGAATACCTACAAAATCTTCATTCTTATCTTCTTCTCCACCTAACGCTAGCATCATCGAGAGGGTCTGAACTTGCATCATTGCAATAGTAAATCAAGAACTTGATGACTTGCACGTAGCTCTGTGTGTGTAGTACATATAGCACATATCTATGGATCTATCTATCTATCTATCATCCACTCTTTTCCATACAAGGTACTTTCAATTCTTACACAAGCATACATCTATTATTACATTTCTTTATCTCAAGATCCAAAATGTATTATTCAACCTAAGATAGACATGTCGTACATATTACAACACAAGCATGCATGAACGTAAGCTATCAAACACGAACTATGAATCATGCGTACACACGTGCTAAACTTGCCTATGCAAGTCTTGTACCAAAATCCACACCATTTTTTTTTGTCCCATATTCAATGCCAATGACACCCACCCATAAAAAGTGGTGTACTTTGTGATTCACATTGAATGCAATTGGATCTCTATACCCATATCGTACTTACTTCCCTTCATAACACATAAGAAACTATATACATAATATAATTTTTTTACCCTTCTTATTAACATCTCGCTTATAAGAATTATATTTCTCTTATCCTTTCTGAGATTTATAAGCGATTTAGAGAGAAATCTTTTATTAACACTCGATAACAATTTGGAAAGAGCAAGTAGCATCAAATTCATCTTGGGATCGATTCATTGATCCAATCGGCAGCCCTGTCATGATCTCATCCATGTTGTGTGTTTGAGAGCAAAGGAAATTGTGGCAGAGACCAAAAGAGACGGACGGCATCATGATTAATGCTTTAAGTCCCAAGCAAACACAACACGATGGAAGAGCATGTGTTGTCCTGATCCATTTGCGTGTTCATTGCCACTGGACTCCACATAGCAAATCCCCTCCGACTTGTCTATGTGGGTAGGTGTTTGGATTGCATGGAAGCTGAAGGAAACCTGTGCATTCCTCGTGTCGAAAATCGTCCTGGAAACGATCCAAAAGATACGACATAAGGTGAGATGTGATTATTGAATTCTGGAAATAATAATGGGAATAAAAAAGATGGGGGAGGGGGGGGGCGGCCACCGACAACGACGGCGGGTCGAAGTGGAGACGGCCACGCGCGGCCGCTGCTGTCCCATTGGTCGCGGGCTTGACTTCTGGCCGCGGCGGGACCCGCGCGTCACCGCCGAGGGCCCCGCACCCACCGAATCCTCCTCGGTCCTACCGTGCCGCGTCGCGTCGGCCGGATCCCCTGCAGCGCCCGCTACACCCGTCGCGGTCCGACGACTCGAGGAGGGCGCGGGAACCGTACGCGTCGTTGTGGGACCCGACACGTTACGTGTCCCCCAGCCCTCTACCGTCGACGCGGTGGTCCCCGCGGACAATTAGTTGGGGCCCCGGGGCGACGTGTGACCACCACCACCACCCTTCGCGCGCTTGCGGATAGATTTCGTCGCGGTGCTCGCCGGCGCTCCCACCCACCCCTCCGTACGAGGCGGCAAGAGCGAAGTCATCTCTCTCTCTCTCTTCTCCTCGGCGCCAGACATGCTTCGTGTGAGTACGAAGAGAAAGTAGCATTGATGCAGTCGCGCTGTCCCCAGCGGTTGACCAATAGATCTCCCGGAACAGTGTGGGGAGAGAGATGGTTCGAGGTGCGCAGGCTGCAATGTCTGCCGATGGGCTGCCATCTCAGACGAAGAGCATTCAAGGTTTGGTTTGATCGACGACCTTTCTGACACACAGAATTTAATAGCAGCGGGGCTGTCACTAAATGAATCAATACACGCACAGAAAGCTTCTTCAAGGAAAATAAAAGAAAAGCTTCAGCCTTTTTACTCCATGCATGAGATCAGCGAAAAGCTCGGAAGGGTTGTCCTGTGAGATCGATAAGGGAACCAACCACGGGGAGCCACCGAGTCCCGTTCACGTGGGTGCAGATCGGTCGATCCTGAGGAGCAAGTTTAAGTATCATGTCTCTCCTCTCCATGATTGGGTACACACACGAATCGGATCGACTGAAGCTAATCGAGATAGCGCTGTGCGTGGCTCCTTAATTTAGAGACAGCACCGGCATACTCTCATCCGAACACAGTATCGCACTGCAGTGCTACAGTTCCCCTCTTATCTTCTCTCCCTCCCTACTGCACATTTGGCTTTCTTTCAAGTCTACATTTACAGGGACGACAGAGAACTGCAGCCATGACGCCTTGTGTAAGAGCATGTTGCCCCCACCACAGCTGAAGGTGGGGGGAAGGATTCAGATAGCAGCCCACGACATGGTCTCCGTCATTTACATGAGAATGGTCTGAAATAAAAAGGGTGTAAAAGTCTGTACATGCATCCCACGGCAGATCGAGTCTCGTTTCATTTGCCATGATCATCCGGAACTTGGAGATGGGTCCGAGTTGATACCCCGTCCTCATCATCTACTTCATCCTTTTGTGGAGCCTTTTGACTTGGCATGCAACTCCACAGCGGCCTCATACTTCGATGAAAACATGTGCTATTTGCATCCATTAAAGAAGATTGTGGCTAGCGAGGGAGAAAAAGTGTAGCAGCTGGGAACATTGTACACACAAAAAGATCAGTCAGATCATAAATTTCCCTCGGCGTAATTGGCACCAAAGAAAGATAAACAAGGAGTAGTGCAACGCTGCAAGATATGCTTTGTGGCTGTGGAAGCTCTATAGAGGAAAAAATATCACGAGACTCGGAGTTGCGTCTTCAGGATGACTACTCAAAAGAAAAAAGGGATCACAAAAGGACACAACACGGAAACCCACAGCTTGTTGCTAATGAAGAGAGGCCCCACATTTGTTCCCACGATTTCGAAGACAGAGAATCCAGCCTCTTTCTTTCTTGGAATTACTTCTCCTCTTTGAAGAGCTCAATCTTCCAGTTCCTACCAGAATAAGTAGCTGGTGAGTTATCAATGGTTGTTGGAGGAAACCCACCACCTAAAAATGAGATCTAAATCACTGCACATAAAACCATGAAGGCACTTAATCACTAGATCATTAGCTGGTAGCCGATCAATTTAATATTGCCAAGGTCTTATCTATGGTCCCTCATCTTCCTTTGCATCTCCATTGTCGTATTGAAAGTCTTGTCCATAGGACGATAATATTATCTCTTTATGATCTGGTTGAGAGCGTATATCGATCGTCTTTGGTGTGTTTATGTATCGATGATTTGATCTTTATGAGAAATAATCCTCAAATAAAAGGAGTTTAATACGACTAACATTTGCCGCATATCTAATTTCCATAGTTTGAAGAAGAAGAAGAAGAAGAAGAAGAAGCATTTCTTTTACCCACTAACATTGCCTATTACAAGTAATAGGTAAGCAAACCAGAAGACTAATAGTTTCTGTACAATATAAATGATGGGACGTATATCCACATAATAAATGGATCATTATATTTCCAAAAGAAACACTATTCAGGAGATAATTTACTACAAGCTGCCAAATTGCCAGTATAAACCATTTAGATTGGAAGGAATATAAGGCTCTATGTTTTTATTCTTTTTCTCTCTCTCTGTCTCTCTATGGATTTTTTGCATGTGGATTAGTTAAATTTACTGCAAGAAAATGTTATGATATTTATTATATATGGCTGTCAAGTTCTGATGATCTCGAGATAGGGAAATGAGCTCACATGATGTCTTGTTCCTGAAATATTATATAGGGTTACAGAACTCATAGATTGGGCATGCCATCTTAGTCTCTGGTCTCTTTCCTAAAAGAAAAGTGGCATTCCAATACGAGGAACTGCAGTAAAGAATGGGATGATACAAGTGCCAATGTTATTACTATTGAAGCTGTCCAAGCTTAGCCAAAAGTGCTTGACTCAAAGGTAGAGAGAGATATGAGATGAACACCATCCATCACATAGAGCGAGAGATCCTTTGTGTTGCATGTTGGTGTCTATTTCCATGGCATGGCATCCTTACAAGAGCATAAGGTCGAAATGTAGAAGCCTCGGCCACACCACCTTCCCTATCAGAAACTACACATTGTTGGGTAGACATCCACTGTACCAAGTCCGGTCTCTCCCAGAAGAAAAGAAATAATATTCTTGCTTTGCTGGCGTAATGGCGGTCGTTGGTTGGGTTGCTTGGCTTTCAATTGCTTTATCTTCCAACCCCGGCATCCAACCACAAGTAAAGAATATAAGGATTAGGTAGCGATGAGGGAAAAAGAATTCCAGTGACAGAGAAGAAGAAGAAGAAGAAGAAGAAGAAGAAGAAGAAGAAGAAGAAGAAGAAGAAGAAGAAGAAGAAGACGAAGAAGAAGAGGAGGAGGAGGGAATCCCCCCTTGCCATCCTTCCCACAACCTTCATACAGTGTCACCTTTGGAAGTCGACGTTTCCTCGTTTTGCAGCTGTTTGTTCCCTCTGACAATGGTGTCAGTTCTTTAACAGCTTCGCCATCTCTCTCTCTCTCTCCTCTCCCCTTCCAGAATTACACTACTCATGTCTCTGTAGAATAACGTATCTATGGCTATCTGTCATGCATATGTATCTTTCTTCCCACCATCAAATGCTCCTGCATCTAATGATGAGGAGAAGAGTGCGTCAAATCAACCGGACTGGACCTTGCCTTCTTTTGTTCCACTCGCAGGTACCACACCCCCAAGCTACTCTCCTCTCCTCTCCTCTGCGCCCATCCCAGCCTTCTTGTTAGGTGCATGATAGCTTAAACTCTGCCCATATCCCCATTCCAAAAGCTTTTACCATTTTTCAGTAAAGAGGAAAGAAGGTACAATGGGAAAGGAAAAGCAATTCGAGGGTTAGTGATGGATAATGCTAGCTAGTGAAAGATGTCATCACTTTTTCCCTGAGGGCTTATAAATGGTCTCTTTATTTCTTTTCCTTTTCCAGAGAGAGAGAGAGAGAGAGAGAGAGAGAGAGAGAGAGAGGGGATGAAGCAGGTGGAATAAGAGTCTGAAGTTGGAGCTTGAAATAACCTCCCTTTCCTTTGATTATTATACTCAAATCTGTTGTACCTCTCAGCTTACTTCTTCTGAGAAGGAGATCCATGATGGAGAACATGTAGCAGCTCCTAAGAAAGGGAGGGGAGAGGCAAAGAAAGAAGAGAGACCTTTCGAAAGTTCCATTCTTATATCATCATCCCACGTGCTCATGGCAATTCATCTCTCTCAGGTATTGCCCATAAGAAATATTCAGTTATCTCAGCTGATAAAGATGGCTGCCTGCCTTTCTCTTTACTACCTGATCTCCATCTCCTCTTCTGCTCTTCTTCCCCTCCTCCTCTTGTCCTAGCGAGTTCTTTGTAGAATGGGTTCTTCCCCCACCGATGGCCTGAGTCCGACTCTACCATCACGGCTGCTGTTTCTTTCTCATCGATTTTGTCGGTTCATCCGACCAAGACGCTCTTCTCTTACCTGCTTTGAGGGGTTTCCCCATCAAAGCTTTGCTAGTAGAAAGATTAGCAAGTCAACGGTATTGCCTTGGTGTGGTTGGATTCCTTTACTGTTGAGGCATTTTTGTGACATGAATTTTGATTGTTTTCGTTCATCCAATCATCCATGTTCATGATCTCTACCCTCGTTGATTGATTGCTTTTTCTTCAGGCGAATAGTACAGGGAGGAGGAAGCAGCACTGTGGAGCTGCTGTTGCTTGTTTTGGTGCATCGCCGTTGACCGAGCAAAGATTAGGCTAAGCGTGATAGATTTCTGGCTTCAAGTAGAGGCTTCTTCTGCGTCCACTGTGTGTGTGATTAGAACGCCTTGATCTTGATCGCTGCTTCAAGAGAAATTGTTGGAATAATTCCCCCAAAAAGATTCAGTAGTCGATGGCGACCTACTTCCATGGTGCCCCGGAGATCCAGCCTGATGGGCTGCAGACGCTCTACCTCATGAACCCCAGCTACGTCGGCTACACGGACGCCGCCGCTCCGGCCAACATGGTCTTTCTGAACTCGACCATGAACTCGGTGAACTCGATCAACCTCGCACAAACTGGCCAGCAGCAGCATTTCGTCGGGATCCCGCTCCAATCGGCGGCTCAGCCGCATGACTCCCACCGCTCGCAGCCGATCCATGCTTCCCATGATGTGCCGGCCGTACAAGGCCTGCTCCCCCGCTCCCATTACAACCTTTGGACGACGGCGACATCGAGCAACCCGGTGGACATGGCGTCGCAATTCGGTCCCTGGCGCACCTCCACCGCGCCGTCGGCGCAGCAAGGACTGTCCCTCAGCCTCTCTCCGCACGAGATGGTGGCTCCAGCGCAGGAGATAACTCCGGCCAGCGCCGCCAACGAGGTGAAGATCGCGGCGTCGGCGTCCATGGCTTCCGGTGCTGCTAATGGCGGCTCGGGCCTGCAGAGCTTTCTGATGGGAACCAAGTACCTGAAGGCAGCACAGCAACTGCTCGATGAGGTGGTGAACGTGGGGAAGGGGGTTAAAGATGAGGCTGCCAAGGGAGCTCCTTTGAAGAATCCTGCCGACAGCAGCAACGTAGAGTTGAAAGATCCCGGCGCCGGAACATCCGAGGGCAACACGAGCGCAAAGCGAGGTGCAGATCTAACGACGGCAGAGAGGCAGGAACTTCAGATGAAGAAGGCCAAGCTCATCAACATGCTTGAGGAGGTAATGGAATCAAACATTAGGACGTTCTTCCTCGTTGTTTGTGCCTTTGATCTGCCAATTTACTTGTTCGGCTTTCCTTTGGGGCAATCTGAAGGTGGAACAGAGGTACAGACAGTACCACCACCAAATGCAAATCGTGGTCTCTTCATTCGAAGCTGTTGCGGGCTACGGATCAGCAAGAACATACACCGCGCTGGCCCTTCGGACGATATCAAAGCAATTCCGGTGTCTCCGGGACGCTATCACCGCCCAAATTCGAGAAACCAGCAAAAGTCTGGGAGAGGAAGACTCCAAGTCGGGAGGCTCCAGGCTTCGGTTCATCGATCATCATCTGAGACAGCAGCGGGCACTCCAACAGCTCGGAATGATCCAGCAGAATGCTTGGAGGCCTCAGAGAGGACTGCCGGAGCGCTCTGTTTCTATTCTCCGAGCTTGGCTCTTCGAACACTTCCTCCACCCGTAAGTGCTCAGATCAAACTCCTCCGATGTTATCACTGACATTAACATGTTCGTGAATCTGACTTTCTGGATGATTTGCAGATATCCGAAGGATTCAGACAAGCTCATGCTTGCTAAGCAAACAGGGCTCACGAGGAGCCAGGTAACTTTGTGGAAGTCATCTTTATCCTGTAATGATGTTGAAGGTTATGGTAAGGAATTTGGTGTTCTTCTTCTTCGCTGTAGGTCTCCAATTGGTTCATAAACGCGAGAGTGAGGCTCTGGAAGCCGATGGTGGAGGAGATGTACTTGGAAGAGCTCAAAGACCAAGAACAGAACAATTCCGAAGAGAACGCAAGCAATGGCGACGCCAATGGCAGCTCCACATCCAAGTCCAACGCTCAACAAGAAGGCAGCCCGACAGGGACGGCGCCCTCCGAGAGCCTCAAGATTGATCCGAATCAAACCTTGGCAGCGGTGCAGCCGTCATCCTTCGCGCACGGCCAAAGCCCAGCGTTCCACGACAAGGACGCGATCGAACAACCGTCGTTCAAGAAGGCCAAGAGGCACGTGAATTCCGTGGCACACTCCATCGGGATCGAAGTGAAGCCGGACGAGACGAACAACCAAGACATCTTGATGAAACTCATCGACGGAAGACACAGGGGAGGGGAACAAGGGTACCCGCTGATACCAGGCAACACCAGCCATGGCGGCAGCTACGGGGCGTATCCCATCGGAGGGGAGCTCGGAAGGTTCGACGCAGAGCAATTCGCTCCGAGGTTCTCCGGCAACGGCGTCTCCCTCACTCTCGGGCTTCAACACAGCGAGAGTCTTCCCCTATCAGGAGCACAACCATCGTTTCTATCCAGCGAGAGCATGCAGATGGGGAGGAGGGTGGAGATGAACACCGAAGCCGGTGACTACTGCAGCCTCAACAACAATGCAGCGGTGGCGCATTCTTCCAATGCAGCAGCGTTCAGGGCAGAGAGAGGTTTTCTGCTCAACTACTACCAGAACTCATAGGCTGATTAGTGCATCTCTCTCTCTCTCTCTCTCTCTCTCTCTCTCTCTCTCTCTCTCTATAGTGGATTTGGATGTTGTAATATGTTGCCTGTAAAGTAGTGGTTAGCGAGTTATGGGGGAAGAGAGATGTAGCTCTCTTCATGCCATCTCTACAACTCAAATGGGAGTGCTTATAGGAGTGAAGTGGTAGAGTATAGAAGAGAAGTATCAGATTACAGGGTCTTATATACTTCATAGAATCATAAGATTGGGGTATGCTGAAGCTTAATTAGTGCATGAAGTTTAGGAATGATAATGTATTACTCATTTGAGACTTTAGATAACAATCATCCATATGGAAGATTTTAATACAAATACATGTTGTATCTGTGAATCTACATGTTGCAGTTGCACCCCTCCCACGTACTTGGTTTGTCTGCATGCAAACAGTATGTTACATCTTCGCCATGCAACGCTGGAAGCTTTTTCTTGCCATGTTTCTGTGTGTTGATGATGATCGAAGTTGGTGGATTTGGAGATTCCGGCAGTGGTGCTGTCAGTCCATTCATGATCAGATTTTGTAGGGTTCTCTCATCTCACATGCACTCGATTTATTTATATTGTTGCATAGGTGATAGATCTTAAATTTACGACTATGGAAAATCGATGCGAGCAAAGAAGCCTGGAGACGAAGATCGAAGTCATACACGCAGAAGAAGACTTCAGACACTTGTCGACTAGAAGAATGGATTCATCACAGGAATAAAGCATGGTAGAATATAGGGGTTGGGAAGATCATTGTTTGGACTACATGCCTACACCACACTGAGAAGGGTGTTATACTCACTGACTGCTGTCAAGAATATGGAGGTGAGGAGGAATTCCACTCTCTACTTTTGCAACAAAAAAGAAAAAGGGGAATATGGACAGATTGACAGCATAAAAATAGCTTATCCCAATTCTCATTCATGGATGCTGATGTTCTCTTAACTTCTTTTCCTTCCCAAACAAGTTCACCAAGTTACCACAAGAAGCAAAAGAGTATTCACTTCTCTGGCTTTCCAAACAAGAGATGCCAAGAAGGTTACTTTCTTTGAGGAAGTGAACATGAAGATAGGAGAAATGAGCATCCACAAAAGCTGACCAAAGGGCTTCGGCTTGCCAACAATGGAGCTGGAATAGCCCTGAACAAGAATGTCTTTCCTGACCAGTGGATTTTGGAAAGCTAGTCATGGCAGGAGAAGCTGACCCCGCTCTTAGCCTTTTTCCGAATGGAATGACGGTACTGATTACTCTCGCTGAAGATGATCAGATGACCCTTGCAGGCACTGAAGTTTGGTGGAACACGGTAGGTGCTGTGTTGATGTTAGCAGCAGCTGATGATGGTGCCGCGACACTTTCAGATGCAGGTTCTAACAGTTGAACTAGTGAAAGGAATATCTCCATCCGTGTCATATCCCTGTTTGCCTGTGCACAAAGTATGCAGCTTGTAAGACACTAATTACGTGCAAAATAGCTGGATGTAACCACAGATTAGGAATCATCAGTATATCTGTGGAGAAAATGCTACACCAACACCACATTTTATGCATTTGGCATCGCAGGTGAGGTAGCCATGCATGGGATGCTGGTTGTGGAACCACAGGAAAGAGTAAGAAAACAAATTCACATGTGTGGGAGTAGCATTAGTGCATTTGTTTTCTTGGTGGCACATATTAATGGCAAAATGCTTGTAAGCCAGACTCTTGGTGGTACCTCCACGGCGAAACGTGCCCATACTTTATTTTTCCGTGCTTCCATCACCCCTTTTAAGATGGTCAGTCCCAATCCCCTGATGAAGTCAGCAATCTCCAGAAAGAAACCCCGATCCTCACAGAGCATCTGTGAAGAACATTTTAAATCATTCTCTTCACTTGCTAAAAGTTGATGAAAAGCAAGCAAAAGGAGAAATCATTCACCTCTACAAGCATTTGACGAGGTGGGTTCAGATCCTCCACCACAATGGGACAGATTGTAGGTTGAGTTCCAACCTCAAATGCCCATGTTGCACCTCCCTCAAAGTTGTCTTTCAAGAGCAAACCACCTTCCTTATTGCTGATCTGTATGTGGAACAAGTAAACAATGACACTAAGAATAGTTGCCTCAAGTACGATAAATAAATGGTCTTATGACATCTGATCCCAGAATATGACAGAAGGGAAATCACAAAAGATATGGCAGCTTTAATAAGACCATGTGACCAAAGGCAGAACTGTTACCATGCCACATGCTTACCACAAGAGATAAATAACCCACACAGATAACATTTGCTGACTTAGCCCACTTAAATATAGAACAGAATCACAAAGAACTCCATAATTAATTTTTCTGATTCATACACTATCCAGTTTTCAACAGAATTGAAGTCAGAAGAAACATCCAACAGCAATCAAAAGGTTTCTCTCATAGAAATCTCAATTGTCTAACACATTGTTTATGCGCTAGTAGGTTGTCAAAAGATTAGCTAGTAATATTTAAGAAGCTTTAAATGAATCAAACAATATAGACAAATAACGAATTGACTGCAGTGTCAGATACCTTGGGTTCGCCAGTGACCTTCAGTTTGTCACCATGCTTTGTTACACTCTGCAAGAAGAGCATATGCTTGATGGTCTTTTCCAGTAAAGCATCAATGCTACACTGCTCCATCATCAATAAGGGAAGAAAATAAAATGTCAGTATTGGACTAAAGCACCAAAAAGCACAATTCAGAAATTTATGCATGCTTAAAGTTTAAACAGACACAAGTTCACCTTTGAGCCGTTTGGCACTATTTCTCGAAGCTCCTTGATACGGTCTTGTATCATCTGTCGATCTTTGGGTCTTGGTCTAGGACTCTCTCCAGGTCTAGGCCTCTTACGATTCAACTTGCCTAAGTCAGCAACTTTTTTGCTATCTGAATCTGACACAAACTCATATTTAACATTCTGAATATTTTCAACCCTTGCGCTGATCTGAGATCTATGAAGCCCAGAATTTTGAGGGTATTCTCCAACTTCCTCAAAGCTACATGAAGATTTGCCATAACTTGAGCTTGCAGGCTCAGTTTTCACTGGTACGGGAAGAAAACCAACAAGTCCATCTTTGCCTTGCTTTGACAAGTGTACTTGGCCATGATCAGGAGATCCAGCATAATGAGAACTATGATTTTTGGATAAGGAAGCCTTAAAAGAAAGGTCATCATCTGTCTCCTGCTTGGCTTTTGGGTTGACCTTTGAGACTATGGCATCCAGTAGTTGATCACTGTCAGCTGCGGAAAATAGCCCAGAACAAGAGATCTGATCACTCGAACCAACGACAGGACAAGCATCTGAATCTGTTGGGAACTTAGGCATATGTGTACCCAGTTTGCAAGAACTTGCACTGTTCTTATGCTCTAAAACATCATCCAAACTGCCATTTGAGCAATGTGTCCTCTGGCCAAAACCCAACATAGAAAATAGATCACAGCTTGAAGCAAATTCCAGAGGCAACAGTAAAGTATCATTCTTTGGTGTATGTAGAGGCTTGTATTCAGTCAAATATTGCACATTACTACAGTTATCAACTGGACAAGTAACATTTGGCTCATGACAAACATTTTTGCATCTTTGATCTTGCCAAACAAGATCTAGATTGCTTTGAAAAATTTCAGGGAGCAAGTCTGAGCAAGAAGCCCGCGTATCAGATCCAGATGATAGGATACAAGAAGCTTCAACTAAATCATTGTTTTCTTTTAGTGTTCCTGCATTTGACACACCATGAGAAACTTTGTTGATGGGGAAAGGCTGGTCAGTCTCAGAAACTTCTGAAATACCCGGACTTCTGAGTGAATAGCTTGTTTGGAGTAGAACCGGAGGTATCCCATGTGCAGATACGTTAGCACATGAATTTGAGCATCCATTAACTCCAAAGGAAAGAAAACCAACACTACCAAGTTTATCCGAATTGTTGGATGATACACTTTTAAGATTTAATGGAGAATTCTTGGCCTCTTCCAGTGAAGTAGGTAAATTGTTGGTAGTTTCTATTGCTCCCAGAGCTGATGTTAACATGAGTTCTTCTTCCAGGGCTTTCAAGCTATCAGATAAGAGAACTGAGTTCAAAGTAGAAGACTCATTTTGACATTCAGAGCCCATATCAGCTGGTGGTACCTGCCGGACACGGTCTATATCTAGTTTGCAAAATCTGTCCTGAGTACTTTGCACAGGGGATTTACCTAAAGTATCTGTGGTTTTCAGTGTCTGTTTGCTTGACATCACTTCACGAGCAGTGGACTGATGTTTTTTATTTAATTGTGATGATACTGAAGATAAGGATTCAGTAAAAGATTTTGGAGCAGGAGGACTGGTGAGCCCAGAGCAGCATCCACCAGCAGTGATAGGCCATATGTTGTCTACCCTAGTGCAAACATCTGTAGATCGGCAACCAGAAATCAGCTTGCCAGGTGAAGAATATATTTGACTTTTTTCCTGCAAAGCTTTCTGAGTGATATCAGATGAAAGAGCCCTTGGTCCACACTTTAGCTTTATTAACAAACTTTTCACATGATCAACAAACTCGATGTTTTCCAGAACCTGCAGTCAACAGTAAAATTGAGTTCCAGATCAGAAGACACCGACTATGACAAGAAAAAGCTTCTGACTTCTGACTATAAGAATATTCATCTGAATTCAGTAGTGTAATTCTCATGTGAAAATTTGTCTGAACAGAGGAGCAGGCATGCCAGCAACACATAATCATAACCAAAAATATAAAACTGCTGAACATTGCACGTTATGTTTTTTCCTCCATTGTAGTTGTTTATGAAAGATCTTAGTCAGGATCTACTTGCAACTTGTTATTATAACTGAAATGGATTGGAAGTCGATGTACCATTTGGGTAGATCCAAGTTGTATGACACCAAAGGGAAGCACAGGAACAACTACGACTGTCTGCAAACATGCAACTCATCAGCACATCAGTTAAGAATCACAGCAAATAGCACAGTATAACCATGATCACAGAAGAAGAAATAAAGTGAGAATAACAAGAAATGTCTAGAGAAAACTCTGACCTGAATGCCTGCTAAAACTTGACAGTTCATATCAGCAAAACCCTGAAAAATAATATGACTACATCAGCTAAGAATGCCATCAAGCACTATAATTAAAGTTTTTACAGAAAATCAGGAGGTATTAGATTCTTTTGAACAAGGGCTTGATCAAGATAGCAATACCAGATGTTCAATAAAGGAATCCAGATGTGGAATAAATGTGAGAGACCCAACACAAAAGCTGACTGGAATACTAGTTACTAGATGATAGGCATACATATATAACCAGATTTTCAAGTATCACTGAGCAACATAATGGAACTAATCCTAATTGTGGATTCAATGAGTGACTGTTTCAATCTATATGGTTACAAGATATAAACAAGGGAAATCAAAATTGACCAAGGGTCATCGCAAGAGCCATGTTTTTAATTTCGATGTCTACTGCTCGGTACAGGTGGTATGTACTAGTCCAAGAGCCTCTTGACACGCAGACCACCCTTTATCGGGCGGTAATGGTCGAAATTTCGATCGTTACCGACCTGTATTGGGTAGGACCGGTTGATTTTTATTGTTACCGACCTGTACCAAGCGGTAACAATCGATTTCGACTGTTACTGACCTTTTAGCTATTTTAGCTAAAATAGCTGAAAACACTAATATTTTCAGCTATTTTAAGTGTATCGCTCAGTACGCTATGGCATACCGTCGGTACACCTCGGTATATATCGTACTGAGCAAGGCTCGGTACGTTGGTACGAACCGAAATTGCAAACCTTGGCAAGAGGTACAGGCCCAACCACAGAAAACATATCGAAAATTAAGGGGAAAAAGTAGCTTTGTGCCTTAGACCAAGGGTTAAGATTTGTTAATATTAATAGTTCTCTTAGTTATGGTACAGACGTTGCATAACCTAATTCAAGAATAATGTGCTCTATACTCGGTTACAAAATGCATTCTAGAATTTGTAGATTTCTGCTAAGATCCAACCTCAATTCTTTAGCACTCAGTGAAATCATTTTTATTTCTTTTTTGAGTTTGCAGTAACAATTGATTCCACCAAACCAGAATCTGGTTCAGACCAAACATAGTAAAAAAACACCATTTAGTCAAGTGGTAATATATACATATTATCTTAATAGATCTACACCTTTTAAGAACCACAAGAGAGTGCAACAAGATAATACTATAGCATATATATCATTATCAAGAACCATGAACAGAAACACAACACCTCTGAACTATCCAATGTGTTGCAGAACTGACTAGATGATTAATGCACACAAGTGGTAACTACAATGTGTTGCAGATTTCACTGCCCGCCTAAACAAACACAGAAAACTTATGATCCTTTGTTGAACCTCTAACTGGATAATGAAAACATCAAGAGGGATACCTTGGATACGAAGCCAAATTTATCAAGGTTATTCTGATTGATCCACTGATGTTTTCCCATTGAAGCTGCATGTCCTACTAACCTGAAATAAAGAAGTCCATTAAGTAACCCTCAAAAAAGACAGAGAAGCCCATTGCAACTTAGAAGAAGACAAAGTTTAAGGAAAAAAAGAAGCCAAAACCAAGAATGACAAGATGCAAATCCACACACCCATCTCCAACAACATGGACCTGGGATGCCATAATCTTGTGAACCAGAACACCTAGTCCATCATCTGCTTGACAGCCTAACTCCAAGAACGAGTCGGTGCTTTTAATCACTCCCTGTTCCTTAAGTAGCAACTCTGAAACTTTAGATCTAGGCATGCCCGGGTTCTGGTCACAATACCCATCTTCCCAGATCAAATGCCTGCCAAGTTTCACAAAAGGTTCCATAAAACAAGAATCAGAACATCTAATTCAAAAGCTTAGGGAAGAAAAATAAATCAGGATTGCATGCTTTCACTCATACTAAGATCACAGCCAAACGGCAACATTACAGAAATCTCACAATAGACCAAAGCTGTCATAATATCATCGAAGCAAGACCTAACTCCAAGATCAAAACTTTTTACCAGCTTCTGTCATGGAAATCTTGAAATCACTTTATATCTCCATACGTCAATCGAAGAGAAAGGTAAGTGAAAAAACAGAATAAAAACAGAATAAAAACATAAAAATCGTCCTTTTATTTCAAAGATAGCCAAATAAGCACAGAGTAGTCTTATCTGAGTCATGAATATTTAAGCAATAACTATCCATCAATTACTCAAAAGACTATCATAAAGTAGAAACCTTTCCTAATTCATCAAGATCCGCAAAGGCGACTTTTAACACTACCACGCAATAAAAGACATGATCGCGATCGATCTTTCGAACTTACATTGGACTCCCGAAGCCGGTGACCCTCCAGAAAACCGCGTACGACCACCCGAACTCAAGGCACAGTCGCCTCAGAGCCTCTCTCAGCGGCACTCCCATCGATCCGCGAGGAGAGACCCAACGACCGCACTCGCTCGGCCCAACGAAAAATAAAGAACCCAACTTTTGCCGCCAAACCCAAAGCAAGAAGGCGACTTGAAGCCAAAACCAAGAGAAAGAAGAGGAGGAGGAGGAGGAGGAGGAGCTTAGAGAGAGAAAAGGTGGATGCCGCCGGCTTCGGCAATCCGAGCGAGCCTAGCTGCCGCGGCAAGAGCCCCGTCCCGCCTGCATGGTCCGCAGCCCGCCGCCCCTCTTCCTCCCCCTCGCCGCCCTCCCCTCCTCCTCAGCCGCCGGTCTCCGGCCACCCATCGACGAGCTCGAGCACTCAAGGGAGTTCTTGGAACGCCTCCTCCTCCAAACGACAGGAGAGAAGAGTGAACAGAAGCAGCAGTCTCGCTAAGAAACAGTTTTCTTTAAAGAGCTCCATCGTCATCATTCGGGGCAAAACCGGAACTTAAGGTCCCAAAAATTGCACCCCTTTCGTGGGTCCCACAGAGACAAACATTCTTGTCCAATAAAAACACGGGTATGCGTATCGGGTAATCAAAGCAACGACTTCTACATCGATCTCTTCGTACGATCTTGCCACGCAATCCTTGAGATTGGTTTCGCAGTACACGGACGGCGGGATTGCTCCCGCACAGAAATCTTACACGCAGCGACAGTAATATTGATCCGCATTTAGATCGTCAATAGCTTTCATGGGATTTGTTTTGAACCTCGAAGTTGAACTAATCTACGAGGGGAGCCACTGAGGGGGCTTTCGAAAAGCAAGCCTTTTTTATGTATGTATAATAAGTAATCATGTAGTCTTTTAATGGTGGGGGGAGGAAGGATGGGATCAATTTTTCTAAGTAAATGGTGGTGAGTGGGGCGTTGGGAGGAGGCCAAAGAGGTCTGACACCCCAGTGGCTGCTGTCGACCTTTTGTTTAATCTACCGAATACTTTAGCCTTTCTCCTTTTGACGACGAAGGTAGGTTGTGATGCATTTGTTCTTTTGCTTCTTCCCACTGGTCTTTGTTGTGGCTGAGTTTTGAGGTTGTAAAAAGGGGGGGCTTTTTGTCCATTATTTAATGACTTAAAATATGGATGCCATTTATTTATATCATGAAAAGTTGCCCCCCCCACCTAAGATATGAAAGCATGAAAGTGAATTGATATATGAATCCCATCTCTGTGAGATGGGAGGATCAACCCCTGGGGAGTCACATCAGGATCAGTGGAGTGCAGGAATGCCACAGTTAGAGCATGATCCTGTTTCACTGGAAAATGGGAGGAGTCCAAAGAGACTGTAAACTTGACTAGATTCATGGTTGTTGGATGCTTCTTGTCATCCATAGCAAGTGGTGTTGCTGTCAACAGTGGGTGTAGATAGACCAAGTGAGAGAGAGCTAATTCCAGACACAACAGTGACCTGTGTTGTGGATGATCCATGTAGGTTCTCTTTTTCTCTGATGTCTCATTCCCTGTCCTGTTTATTTTTCCTGAGCTTTAAATGCAAGGTGTAGAGCATACAAATCCTATTGGAAAAGCTGAAAGGGAACTTCTGCAGTAGCTGAACAACCAGAAGATCAAAGAGTGGATGGGATGATAACACAATCACATGCCACAAACATGAGAAAAATCAGCATGTCTCCAAATCTTGGCATGTTTTAAAAGGTGAAGACTTGAGATTCCATCTGATACATAGATCAAACCATATCAAACAATCATTTGAGGAGGGTAGATAGATGGCACTCAGCTGGGTTTTCTCACTCATGAATGATCCAGCATTTGTGGGGAGATGTGAAGGGTGAAATGAATAGAAAAGAGGGCACTAAAAGACATATCTGTGTGAGAATCTTGACCTTGGAACGTACAATTATAAACCTCCCCCCACAAGGGCAAAAGTTTTGATTTGAAGCTAGTCTTCCTGTTGTTTGCTGCTAAATCTGAGGCCCACTGGTGACCGGGGGAGATGATGTTTGATGGATTTGCAGGTCCCACTCTTTTCATCAGATGAATCAACCAGGCCTCACCCAAAAGTACATGTGCCATCATGATGGCCATTATGGTGTGCTCTTGTTTTATCTCAGCACACCATTGCACAAAAAAGACTGATAAATATAACATGAGAGAAAGAAGCTGCGCAGTATTTATGGATCAAACAAATATTGATATCTAAACATGTCATTTTAATATTTTTATTATTTTTTGTTTTAATTTTATATCAAAACAAGGTACCTGTTATTCATAGCCTTCTCCCCATCTTTGTTTTTCTTTTGTACTCTCTTGTCCTTGTTCCTCGAAAGAAGTCAAGGTGTTGTTTATAGTCGCAGGGCAACTGTACCTACGAGGCAATACACGCAGTTCTCAAAGCTCATTAACCACACAGACATGGGTCTTAGGACAGTGCACAGCCATAAGAATAATGTCAGGTTCCACAGTTGACGCTGCCAAAAGGGATAGAGAATACCTGAATTCAAGGACTCAATCAACCTCAGAGACTTGGGATGCAGAGGAAACATCGGTATAGTGGCGGATGAGTCATTCTTCCACACACACACACTCAATAGTGTTTGCCACAGGTTGGAGATCGATTCACGCATCACGTTGTTGGGAAATCTGGTATGGATCTGAATGGATTACACTCGGATGCTGATGGGCATCAGCAGCCAGGGAATGGTCCCCCTTGTACCATCATCGCTCCGGCCATGGTCCCTTGGATCCTGCAGCATGGAGGTAAAACCATTCGATAAATCCTAACTTGACAAAAGGCAAACAAGCAGAGCTGGAAAAGATAACTCTTGGGTAAGGGAGCTCACACGCTTTGCACAGGGCGGCTCTGAGCACCTGCCTGGGCCAATATAGAAGACGACCAGGGAAGTGGAAGGGATGGCCCAGCTCCTTGGAAATGGCACAACAGTACAATTCTCCTGTCATTTTAAGCTAAAGCTCCTTTACCTGCTCGAAAATTAACCAGGTGCCGGTCGTCTTGTGGGAGCTTGGAATCTGGATATGCTATTATCCTCGAAGTAGATTCCTGACAAGTAGTCTTATGTACCCAGTGGAATGCACTATGTTGATGCAAACATAATTATTGGGAATTAGAATGTCAAAACCTGCACAAGCTGGAGTTTTAGTATAAGAAATCATCAGCTAAATCAACAACAGACCAGGTTTCAAAGGACCAGCCACAAACATCACACATCGGCATCTGAGGTTGATGGCAGAACAGGTATCTTAAATTGTACAGTAGATGGACAAAATAAAAGGAAGAACCAATTTGTTCTACCTATATATCCTTATACTGGTAGCAACAGCTAGTTAACATAGGGCCTGTGAAAAATATCAACCTACTTGCGAAATATCATACAATGGGATATTGGTACATGATAAGGTTTTATATCTTACCAGCCATATACAGGGTTTTGCACCTGAGGTGGCAGGAGGTGCAAATCCATGCAATGCTGCTTACTATAATTTCTTGTTCCTGGTATTGCACCGGTAGACAACCTCAGGATTTCGTTACCAGTAAGACAATAGTGAGCAAAGGCTAACCCCCCATCCACAGCAGATGATAGAGTAGGCATGGAAATTGACTTGCTAATCTTCAAGTTATCTGCATTGACACTCGTAGATTCTTGTTTGTTTAGAACTTTGTCAAGCTCTGAATACTCCATAAATCTCTGTGTTGCGGCCTCCCATGACAAATTATATCTTTGCTCAGGAGTGAGTGGTTGGGGTTCATTTGCCATCGCCTCTTTTACCTTCGCCACAAAATCCTCGGAAGTTTTATAAGTCAAGCAGTTAGGAAATGCCCTGAAGAAATCATTTGATGGGTGATCTGCACAAATCACAAACTTCCCCATGGCAAGGGCCTCTGCTGTTGCTGTGCACAGGACATCACTGACGCTAGGATTTATGAAAACTTTGTACCTACAAATGCATCAGAAAGAAAAAGTGTATTAGTATATACATACTGCACAAAGAACACGCACCAAAAAACATAAATCCAGTTTAATATTTAAAAGGTTCTTACCCATGAAGTGAATCATCTGCATGATCCCTTCCTTTAAAGAAGTTCAGATTCAGGTCCAACTTCCTTGCAGCAGATTGGACTTCACGTGAATCCTCACCATTTCCATATACATCTAAGTTAAACCCTTCCAAGTCATTCTTGTGCTTTGCTAGCAAATCTATCAATTCTCTGTAACCTTTTGCCCAAACCATCTTCCCCAGGAAATATGCTCCTTTGGAAAATGCTTGATGCCCTTGCTCCCTCTCAGCAGCTATTTTTTCTCCAACCTTAAGAAACTTGGGATTAACGCCATGAACATTGCAAATGACAGACTTGGGCAACTCCTGAGTTGCTCCAGAAAGCCGCAAAACCTGCAGAACAACCACCAATGATTAGAGAAGATTCTAAACCTTTGTTGCACCATATAGTATAGTTAATAATGTTGGTATGTGACTAATACATGCCAAACAGACCAAATCAAGCACCATACAGTATAGTTAACAATGTTGGCAATGTGACTAATACATGCCAAACAGACCTAAGTCAAGAACATTGGACTCTTATTACTAATTACATAGAATAAACACATGATCACAGTATCAAAAATCCAAATTTCATGCCTTATGGCAGTATGCTCTGGTGACCCAATTGTTGATATGTTTGACGAAGAATGCTTGGATAGCTCCATTTTTCTCCCTCTTGATGTACTCCAAGTAATTTGTGTGAACTACACCAACAACATAATTGAACTTATCTGTCCAACGCTTCCCATGATGATACCAGTTTAGGTGCTCTGGCTCTTCCAGTATAGCAATATCAGCCTCTTTGGAAGGAATGAATTGCGTGGTGTCCCCAGCAGGTACTATGCTGCGCCTTTCTTTTGAGAACTAAAACCAAAATAAACAAGTAAAATCTATGTCATTATAGAATCCAAACGTGGCACAGGATGCATCACATGGTTACCTTTCCCGGATAAAATGAGATTTTAAAGTCTGCCTTGAAGCCAATCCGTTCCTCTAGCCAGTTCCTTATGTAGGCTTCCTGCTCTTCAGGAGAACAAAAACTTAAATTATTAGGATAAACCAGCTCCTGATCTGATTTGCAAAGCCAGGGGACCACCAATGTTACATCTTGTTTTGCAGACTTAGCCAAATATGCAGCTCGGAATAATGGGTTTACAGCAGTTCCAGTCATCCATGGGAGACTGGCAGTAGTTACAATTGCAACATGGCGCTTCTGGTCTGTTGTCTCATGCTTTACAAGGTCAGTCCAAAAGCCTCCTTCATAGTGATGCCCTGTACTTTCGAGCACACTGGCTATTCTCAAATCAAGTTCATCACTGTTCTCATTTCCAGGTAAGGATGTGTCCTTTGCAGGAAGAGAATGATACATGAATTGATCTTTGCGCCTACTGCATAAAGCTTCCACAATTTTGTCGCATATATCTGCATCCAGTAAACCATAACAAGAGATGCTATTTAACCAACCACCGAAAAGTAATAGAAATGAATACATTAATAAATATAATTTCAGTAAAAGATTAGAAAATCTCATCAATAATCCACTTGGAACATAGAATATCCAGAAGTATACAGTTCTAATCGTTGAATAAACACAAGCAGAATCAACACGCTAAAGCTGAAAGTATTCAAGTCTGGAACATAGACAAGCAATCATAAGCTTCTCATTATAGAATATACTTTTCTTGTTCAGTGTCATCTGGAGCTCAAGTAGCAATTAAAGAAGGCATTGTGCTCAAACATACAGAATGTATATAGTACACAACTTATTTAAAAACAACTCAACTATCTTATTTGGATAGCCTCATGATATATGTCTAAGTACATTCAGATTCAACAAAAACAAAACTTTTAAAGTGCCATCTTAATTCTAATTAAAAGACTCATGTGATACGTGTTGGAAATCCATACTGCCTTGTCAAGGTAGTAATCTAAACAAACGGGACAGCCCAAATCTATGCAGTGTTTCAAATAACTTATTACCATCATAAAAGATTATATTGATCCTCAGAGGTGTGGAAACTGTCATCTAAAAACTGAGAGAATAAGAATTATGAAGACATCGATCATGATCAAAGTTAGCTTGTGTAATATCCAACAGATTAAAAACAGATATTAGGAAATATGTCTGAAATCATGGTTTGAAGTTTTAATATTGGTTTCAGTTTTGGTCTTTTGTCTGAAGTAGACTATTAAGGCAGCAGTTCTAGCTCAGTTTCAGCATTTGCTACTTCAGCCACATTAAACATTAAAAGAAAATGAAAAAAAGGAGATAAAATTTGCATTGTTCCATAATGGGGACTAATAGCTACAAACAAGTAAATATATGTTGTCTAAGCCTTTTTTTCATCACAGATTAAAGAAACTTTAGACCATGTCCAATATTATTCCAACAGAAGCAGAAAGTTCCAAATGGCAATTTGTACACAAACTAGAGTTTGTTTCCATCAGTATTGTGTTAACACATTGAGTAAAATTAATGTGCAAGTCTACAAGAATAAATAGAAGAAGAAATTATGCAGTGTGCCCTTTGGATAAGAAATAAATCCCATGCAAACGAGAACAAAGAAATTGGAATATAAATGATAATTTACGAATTTTTTACATAAAGTTGTGCTCAAACAAATTTTATCAGGGAGAGGTAGACTAGTTAAGAATCAATTGGAGCTTAAGTAGATGCTGAAATCAGAAACAAGCAATATGTGCTTGCTTAAAGATCTGAAATCCAAAGGCAGCATTATCGGCTACCCATTTGAAATGATTTCACAAGATGGTTATGCCAAGGCTGGCCCAAATTACAGAACAAGATATGTTAAAAGCATGTACATGAATGGTAAATAAATTAAACAGATATCTAAATTTGTGGGGGTTCAATAAACAATTTGTGTACCTTGCCGTATTCCAAGCTGATTGAAAAATGGCCCAGATTGCTTAACAAAATATGCCAAAAGTTCAGGTAGATCCAATGGTGGAACTTCCTGCAATAGATAACCAGATGCTTTAGCACATCAATGACATGTCTCATATATCAGAAAAACATTAGTATTTAACAATAATAGACAATTGCTGTGTGCACTATAATTCTCATGAATAAGTTTCTTTTTAAACTCAATGCAAATAATGATGCAGGAGCTGTTTAGTCATCTCCATAGGTGAGTCATAATCATGTTACATTAGTCAAGTTTTAGATATGTCTGGTTGGCTCCTACTTAGATTGAATTGTCATTTTAGGTATAGCTTAAGATCTTTTAATATGAATTTTTTTTATGAATTTTGGTCCATATTTTTTAGCTCCTATTTTAGAGCTTATCTAAGTCATGTTTTAAGTTGAATTCTTCAGCTCAAGTCTCATTTAGATATCAACAAGGAGAGAAGAGCCCTTGTGCAGTTAGATATCTTCCATTTTCTACCGCTAGTCTACTTCTTCCTTCCCTCTTCTCTAATTTTGAACATATAATATAATGAATTAAGCTCAGGTATCACATTTGCATTAGGTACTATATTGAATGGACAATATTCTATATGACATTTAACAATAAAATAACAGAAATAAAAAGACAACCTACAACCAACCTTCGACTCTTGGGGCTCCTTCACAAATGATCCCTGCAACACAAAGATAACAGCAAATAAAAAATGATACTTTCAGATAGAATGTATGTGAGATTAATCAACATACAGCAAATCACAAAAAAAAATTGATTTGGAAAAAGTTTATTCATAGTAACTCAATACGTAAAGTCTAAAAAGGAACTCAATTTCGTCCAGACTGAATAATACCAACAGTATTCCACCAGTCCAGTTGTAAATTGGGCCACCAGCATCTCCTTTTTTCCATTATTTAAGCGACAATTTTATTGTTTTTTAAGGTAGAATAGTGGACTTTTAGGGATCACAAGCAACATCTCTCTCTCTCTCTCTCTCTCTCTCTCTCTCTCTCTCTCTCTCTCTCTCTGTGTTGTCCTCTCTACTCCACTCTCCATCTCCCTCTTCACTCCTCTCTTTGTCACTCAACTGCTGCAGCCCGCCACCCACATCATTCAAAATGCTTAAATTAAAGTAATTTTTTGCCTTTATTAACTATTATCAGCAAATCAAGTATCTAATGAATTTGGATATGGTGAAGCATCAATTATTAGCAAAAGATATAACATGCTGCAAAAATAGCAAAAAAGAAGCCCCACAAAGAAAAGGAATCGGAAGAATTCATATACATAAAGAAGTTGAACACATCGCAATTGATAGTGAGAAATCAAAGGAATATTATGATTCCATCAGATGTCTCAGTTGCCTTCTCCACATATTGAAGTTCCAGTATAGTGCCCTCAGATTTTGCAGTTATACAGGAGAGAATCCATGGTTTTCTTAAGCTCAAGCTAGCATCTTAGCAGTTAACCAAAATTACCAAGTTTGTCACATCTTGATAACCCCCCAAATCTTAAATTCTCATGCTTTGAGCATAATTTGCAGAAAAATAAAAGAAAATTAAAAAGCCTAAGCATTCGACAAATCTTCTTGATTTATGGAATGCTTAGGGTTTTTAATAATTTTTTTCTCCTGGGATTAATGCACTATTAGGGAAGACAAGTGAACTCACCAGGCTCGATTTCAGTTTTTCGACGAGCTCGTTGCTCGTGGACTGGCTCTTCCGTTCCAACTCCTTCAGCCCTGTCTTGAGGATCCGAATGGGCTCCCACTCCCTCCCTTGCTCCTCCTCCTCCACCCCCTTCCACCGCACCATCCTCCAGCTCTGGCCCTTGACCTTGCCGACATCGAGGACCGCCCCGACCTCGTCCACCTCTGAGACGATAGCGTTTCGGATGGCGGACAGATCGATGCGGATGGTGGCCTTGGGACTCCACTTCTCGAGCACCCTCCGGCTGAATTCCGGCGACGAGTAGGCCCGACGGATCTCAGACAGCTTGGGCTGGATGCGCTTGACGAATTCGACCTCCGGCGGGGAAGGACGGGGCGGCGTGGACAGGACGGCGGCGGAGGAGCTGAGCAGGTTCTCGAACTCCCGGTCGGCGAGGGACTTGAAGGAGCTGGCGCGGGCGCGCATGAGGCGGAGGTCTGCGCCGGCGGAGTCACGCACCTCGCGCCATCCCCGGGAGATGAAGGACAGGGCCTTCTCCGCCGTCCCGGCGCCCGGCGCCGCGCTCTCCGCTCCGACGTCGATCATGTATGACGAAGAATTCTAGGGTTTCCTTCTTCCACCGTCTTTGACTCCTCTCTCTCTCTCTCTTCAATTGGGTGGATGGCGGTGCGTGCCGAGAGGCGAGGCGACGAGAGACATGAGGTTAAAGCTGGAGGAGCGAGGGAGGAGAGGTGAGAGAAGGGCGAAGGGGCCCACCGAAGGTGGACATCTCACGGGAATTATGTGGAAGAAGAGCGGTGAGGTGGCCGGATGTGGTTGGCTGTTGAGGTTTCTTCGGTGGCTTCTCGAGGGCAGGAATTATAGACCGTTAAAAGAGTATATTCTAGGCGACCCGGGGACACTATTTTCGTCACACCTTCCGCTACGAAAACAACCAAACCCAAAACCCACCTCACAATGCTTTCTAATTATATTCCACATATTTACATTCTGACCAGTCTCTCTCCATCTTCCGCATTGAAGGCCAACGTCCACCCAGTTGTTTCTCCGCAGGGAGCTTCCAACCTCCACGTTGAGCCGACTCTGGAAGCGTCTCATCCCTGGTTTGTGATTCCAGCGGACTCCATCAGGGAAGAGTCGTCGTCGTCGTCGTCGTCGGCTTCCAAGCGCTTCGTCTTCTTGTGGTTTGCCCCTCATGTGGATGTTGTTTCCACATCATCGGAGTCCATGGGAATCTCTGACTCCGGCCCCAAATCAGATCTCTGGGGACCCAAGTGATCGTGTGCCGTCCAAAGCCTATCACCTGAGCAGCTGCAGTGCAGCCTCAAACAATTAGAAGAAAAACGAAAGCATCGGTTGTCTTCACACGCTGACTTTTACCTCATTGCAGTTTGGCCGGAGGTGTGACACTTGTAATGGGAAGAAAGCACCGATCTTTCTATCATAACATTCACGTCTTGCTTCACTGCTTCAGTTTGTCACCCTCACTCAGTACTGATCACTCTTTCCTTCGTACAGTTTAAGGTGGTGCATTTGATGCAGAGGGACGAAGAAGATCCTCCGACTGGGAACGGATGAATGAAGCAGTCTGCAGGACCGTAACTCGAAGAATAAATCCCTCCTTAATATTAAGTCTCTCGCTCATTATAATGACTCTCTCTATCTATCTCCAATAAATTTCTTATTCATACAATGATATTGGCATGACATATCTAATTTGATGTTACCTCAACTTCGAGATCGATGGTATCACTTTTGTAGACTCTTTGGCATATTAAATTGACTGAACAGAGGTTCAACGAGTCGAAAATAATAGTCTAAAATTTAATCTCAAGAATTGGATATGCATTTGATGCTTAGCTCATTCAAAATATTATTGACTATCACTAACCATAATTAAACATACTAAGCTTGAGCAAAAATATGCAAACTTTAAAATACCTAAAATAATTTTACTATTTTTAATATTATATATAATTTTTATTTTTTTAATAAATATTTATATTAATTAAAAGTTTTAACTTTGATATACATGTCAAACTCAAATTTAGATCATTTACTTCCAAGGGATAAATATACGTAGATAAATCATATTTAGCAATTTAATCTAATTTCAAAACATTAAATTATATATTAAAAAATTACATTTTATATCATAAATGTTTAATTTTTTTAAAAATATATACACAATATATACATTTTTTTGGGGGTAAAAATCTATCATTGTGTTGCTTTTGCTTTGAGTTTGGTCCCAAGTGGTTTGGTGTCGCTCCCCTGCTTCGTGGCGTACGCCGGTCGTCTCTCCCTTGCCGTGCTCTCCTCCCTCTCCTCTCTCGCCTCGCATTAACTCCATTGCCTCTCTCTCTCTCTCTCTCTCTCTCTCTCTCTCGGAAGTAATCGAACAACCAGGTATGCCTACCAAAGCCAACCAAGAATCCCCCCAGAAAATAAAACTAAAAGTGGTATCTTGCTTCGTTTCTCCCCTCTTTGGTCTTCGATGCTTTATCTTCAGCAATCCAGTGCGAATCTGTCGGTTCTAAGCTTGAATCTGTTTCTTTGTATGGCCCTCAGTTTATCTCGTTTTCTTTCACCCCAGGTTCATTGCCTCTTGGTCCGTGCTTTTCCTTTTTGCCGTCTTTTCGCTGATGCTTTTTCCGTTTTAGTCTTTACATTGTTTTGCTCGAGTATGTTGGAGGGTTTAGGGTTACTGTTTCATTGCTCCCGTCTCTTTTGCCCTCGTCGTCGTCGACGTCTTGTTTGATAGGGCTTTTGTCCTTGGTGTTTTGCTTGTTTCATCTTCGGGTTCTACAGCGCGTTTTCTCGGGGATCGATAGGGTTTTGATCTAACAGAATAGCTGTAATGCAGCTCCAACGTATGCAGGTGGGTTATGGACGTCTGTAATGCTGCCCCTCTTTGTGCACGAAATAAAGATCGCGGCTATCGGGTAAATGAAAACGTTGAAAGCAATAATAAAATTGGGTTTAGCCCCAAAAAATGATCTTTCTCTTTGCTTCGTTTAATTGATATTTTTTAGGTTTTACAGTACCAAGTACATTGCTCTGTTTAACTACCCATTCTTGAAGTTTTGTTCTTTGTGTTCATTTTGGACCCTTTTTTGTTTTGATTTGGTTTGCCCTCACTGTAGATATGAATATTCATGGCTTTGGATTTTCTTTACAGAACCGAAAGGAAGCGATTTGCATGGATGATACGTACGTATCAGATGTTAAGATTCCTATAATACCAATAATATAGTTTGTCGTGTTTCGGTCAGCTCCCTTCCCGCCTCTTTGCCCCTCTCAGAACAGGGGTTTGATTTGCCGAGCATCAGATTCTACACCTCAAACCACACAGAATGATGATAATTTGTGTGTACAATACCCTGGGTTTTCTTCTGATGTTGCCCTCTTAGATGAACAGCCGCTGTTGCTGGATGACCTGTTGACTGAACCAGAAATTAGTCCGGGGGGGGTCTCTCTGAGGAGATCCGCAAGTGATCCACTAGCATTCCTGGAGGTGGCTTCAAGTCTCCATGGTTTGTCTCCGGTCAAAGAAGAAGATGCTCTATCAGATGGTGTCCTCCATGAATCCCTGGAGTCTGAGGGAACCAGTGAAGTTGGTTCTGGGTTTGAGGCTGGGAATTGTGTCTATGGGCGTAACTCGCCAAGGCAAAGGAGTAAATTGACGGACTCAGAGAGTTGGATGGTGTCATCTTTGCTGGAAAATGTTCCAAGTAACCCGCAGCAGTATTTAACCATGGATTATCCAAGCACATATGTCGTGAATGAGCCAAATGGAAAAGAAGTTGATTGTGTTCCTTCAGGCTATCTGGATTCTGAAAAGATATCAAAAAGGTAACCTAGTTTCTGCTTTGTTCACTCAAACTTTGCAGATTGTCTTTCTTCAGACATCTCTGATACAGAAATCACTGACAAATATTTGCTCATATATCAGTCATATCAGATAAAATTTTTTTGTTTTGTGAAAATATTTTATTCCTTGATTTTAAGATCAATTGAGTTGTTGGTCACTGGCAAAAAGCTTAATTCATGACCAATTACCTGAGCTGTTAGTCACTGGAACGATAGTAATTGTAAGATGCATAAGCTTTTAGAGCATGACAAACCTAACTAGTTGCAGAAATGTTCTAGATTATTGTTTGGGCAAAATTCTTATGCTGATCTTCATCTTTTATCTTGCAATTTAACAACTAGGAGATAATCTACCAAGTTCACCATAGGCATCTGTACGTTAGGGTATCAGCTTTTGGATCTCCTTTATGCATTTTGCGTATACATATCTTTAGTTCCTTAAGGGCAAAGTCGAGCCAGTATTGACTTGAGGAACTTCCACCCAAAATTTCTTATCACATGAAGTATCTATCAAACGTTTGTCTTTATAAATTTTCTCCTTTCAAGAATATGTTGATGTAGGGACAATTGTATTAATTTTGCCATATGACATCAATCATTAAGTTGAGGAGTTCTGAATTCCACTGTTTATTTTGCCACAAGACAATTGCATTAACTTTAACATTTGACCCAGCAGTCATATCCAGTATTTACTTTTACAAGGGGAAAACTGCTTGCGCATGAAACTCTTACGTTTATGGACTCTTGAAACCATAATTCCATTTATCAATCAAGAGAATTGACTCTTAAACCAGTCATTTAATCAAGAGAATTACTGACCAACATTTTGGGTCCATATATGTTTGGTGAAAATGTACAATTCCACTAGGAGCTCACAATTATTCTTATTTCAATCAACATTTAAGGTTGACTTGCTTAGAAAAAACATCCTGTTCCTATCTGATACAGCAAATCTAAATCAGGATCATCTGTCTCCAATTAAGCCAATTAACAGTTATTTTAAAAGATCTGATGGTTGTACTATAATCCTTTTTGTTGTAGCTTTGACTTTTATTTCTTTTTACATTCATAATTTATGCTGCATGTGGCAAATATTAACAATTTATGTGACTTCTATGATCGTCATTGCATAAGCTTATGAGATGTTGCCTTTATTTATTTTATTGCATCATCTTGTGAATTACCTTTCCTGAATTTTCCCCCTGCATATTGTTGCGTTTGTGAACTGATAAATGTTTTGTTTGCAGATGCTCAGGCCAACGTTCCAGGGTTCGAAAACTTCAGCATATTGTTCAACTTGAGATAACTATTGACATACTTCAGGTAACATGTGGTTCTTTTTCTTGCTTTGGATCTCTCTCTGTGGATTTTTCTAATGGAGATAGCACTTGTTTGGCTTTTGTGTAGACACTTGGAACAGATTTGGTTGCTAGAGTTGCTTCTTTGTTTCAATACCATCTTGCTTTATCTGTAGGAAACAAGAATCTAAGACAGCAGATAGCCAGTCTTCGGCAAGAGAAAATTATCAAGGATGGTATGTGAATCTCTTCTTTGTCATTGTGTGGATATCTTTGAAAAAGATGGAGTAACTTATCGTGTAACAAGAGTGAAAATCATTTTCTATATGTTGAAATTGAATTTGTTCCTGCTCAAATCAGTTTTCTGGTTATGCATCTAAATCCATGGATTCATGGAAGGTAAACTGCTGTTGCCATTCGTACAAGTTGCAATCTTAGGGAAACCTACAGTGGGTCTATCATCTATATATAAGTGGATGGACAGTTGTCTTGTCCATTTCAGTCTCCTACGGAGGACATGAATGAGTCGTCAAGCCGTGCTATCTATTATTATCCATGTCGTGATCAGCTAATTAGATGCTTCTCATTCTCTGCTTTTGTGGTACATACAAGGGCTGGTCAATATAGCAATCTTGACATCATACTCAACTACGGCATCCACCTACCTATCTTCTGTATATGTTTGTTAGGTTTTGTCATCATAATATTACTAGACATCTCGCAGATCCACCTAGTTACCTGTCCAAAAGTATACTGGGCAGTTTCATCTACATTAGAAGTAAAGACAGGGGTATTTGTGGTAGTATACCTGCTAATCCGCTTGTAGTTTCCATTCTTTTATTTGACCTAGTTCTTGCTTGCTGAATTCAACAGGTGAGCGCCAGTCTCTGAAGAACGAAGCAGAGAGGTTAAAAATGATGCTTAGGCACCACCAGAGAAGCAAAAGCATGGCTTCATGTTTTGAGAAGGGCACTTATGTTGCAGATCCTTCAACATTAAATTGGCAGATGTTGGATTTGGAAAATCTCACTCTTGGTGGTAGCCAAGTTCCTTTGAAGCATAGTCTGAGACACCGATAAAGCCATACTCCTCTTTCTCCTTGGGTTGGAAATTCCTAGACACAGTTACTTGCTAGGGTTGGCTTTCAAAATCCAGATTAAAATCTCTGGCTGTTAATCCTCTCCCTGTTGAATTTGGTAGGCACAATCGAAGGCTAAAGTTGGTGCTACTGGTGTGCTGTTTGGCACAGCTTATAACTAGTGTCAATTACCCGAAATGTTGAGCAAGGATTGTGAGATTGCACTCTGGTTGGGGTAGCAGCCATTGTCCAAGTACCATCTGATATCTGAGACACATGCTTGTGTGCTGAAGGGCAGTGGCATATTGGGCTGTCAATGGATTGGATCTAACCTGATCCAGATCAAATCACAATTGCATACCAGCAACAGTGATCCGATTGATTGACTCAGTAGGATCGATCCTGGATTTGATATGTTGACAGCCTCAGCACGATGGTTGGGCAGGTGAACTGACTGCCAATAGTCAAAGCAATGGTCTGATGATAAACCTAAGCCAAGCCCATGAAACCTGTAACGTCTTCTATAAGAGGGCGCCCGCCCTGTAGCGTTCCCTTCATTCCTTGGTGAAGGAACAGACTACTACTTGAGATCCCATCCCCGGACAATTACCCTTTGGCAACCATGAGCGGCTCGGTCAATAACACAAACACCTCAACCCCGTCGTCGCCTCCCACCCTCCCCCAGCGCCGATTCGGTTTCGGATGGAGGTCATCGCTATTCTATGCCGCTGCTCTGTTAGCCGTCTTCGTTGCCGTTTCTCTCAAGGTCAGCACCCCCCTACATCGCTTCGTTCTCCCGAACCTCGGTCTCCACCCCGCTCTCCGACCCGGTCTCCTGCATAAACTCCAAGGTCTCATCTCGATCACCCGACAGCAGCCTGGTGCCCAACATATCTCCGATCGCCCACCATGTGTTCTATGGATGGCCCCCTTTCTTTCCAGCGGTGGCTACAGCTCCGAGGCTTGGTCTTACATCACGGCTCTCCGCGCTCACGCCGGAGATTCTCAGCTCAGGCTCCAGATAGATCACCATGGTGACTTGCAGTCCATCGAGTTCTGGCTCGGCTTGCCTGAGGAGTCGAGGCGCTTGGCGCACGAACTCCATGCCACCGAGTGTCGCATCGACGAGACCATCGTGGTCTGCCACAGCGAACCCGGCGCGTGGTACCCGCCCCTGTACGAGACCTCGCTGTGCCCCCCCACCGGGTACAAGGATCCCTTGTTTGTCGTCGGCCGCACCATGTTCGAGACGGATCGGCTCAACCCCGAGCACGTCGCGCGGTGCAATCGGTTGGACGCCGTATGGGTGCCCACGGAATTCCATGTATCCTCGTTTCGCCGAAGCGGCGTGGATCCTGCTAAGGTCGTCAAACTGGTCCAACCGGTCGATGTGGAGTTCTTCGATCCGGCGAAGCATGAAGCCCTTGTTCTTCCTTCGAAAGCTCCAGTTTTGGGCTCCAACAGCCGGGCTTCGACAGGAAGGGAATTCGTTTTCCTCAGTGTGTTCAAGTGGGAGCAGAGGAAGGGATGGGATGTGCTGCTCAAGGCCTACTTAGAGGAATTCTCAAAAGCTGATGGGGTTGCATTGTACCTCCTTACGAGCGCTTACCACTCTGACAAGGATTTCTCGTCTAAGATCAAGGTGTTCGTCGAAAGGTCAGGGATGAAGGAACCAACTGATGGCTGGGCGCCGATCTATCTACTCGACGCCCACATACCGCAGTCCGATCTGCCAAGAATCTACAAGGCGGCCGACACGTTTGTGCTGCCCTCGAGGGGCGAAGGATGGGGGAGGCCCATCGTCGAGGCCATGGCCATGTCGGTACCGGTGATAGCCACCAACTGGTCGGGACCGACCGAGTACTTGACGGAGGATAACGCCTACCCGTTGTCTGTGGCTCGGATGAGCGAGCTAGCGGAGGGGCCATTCAAGGGTCATTTCTGGGCGGAGCCGGCGAGCGATCAGCTGAAGGTTTTGATGAGGCATGTGGTGGACAACCCTGAGGAAGCTCGAAGGAGAGGGAGGAAAGCGAGGAGCGACATGGTCGAGAGATTCTCGCCTCAGGTCGTTGCAAGGCTTGTCGTCGATCAGATCGTGAACATAGTGCGGAATCGGAGTGAGAAGACGAGCAAGCGAGATTAGATAGCAGGGAATTGGAGGAGGCTTGTGCTGTGCGCAGTGCGTTGGAAGAACCATTGGTTCTCTGCCATGAGAACAGACATTGATTTCTGTTGTGTTGAGAGTATCAACCATTTGCTATTTGTTCTGTAGAAGCAGCTGCTCGTGTTATGGTGTTTATTAGACGAAATCTTAAGGATGTTTAACCACTTGTATCGACTACCCTTTCTTGTTCTCTAGTGTGCCAAATTTGAAGTGCAGGGCCGGCGCGACAAGAGAGTTCTTTGCTGAGCGATAATGGCGTTTGCATTCTGTTGGTGTCGATGGTATTCCTCGAGTCACGAGTTCAAGGTTTTGTTATGTTTAATCATCTAGTCTTTTTAGTGCTCACAAACTGTTTGAGAATCAAAGTGTTGGATTAATGCATTTCTCAATGTCTGAGCATGCAAACTTATTTGCCCTGCAAATTCTAGTTTTTATAAAGGTTTTTAGAAAATTTTAATTTAGTGTAAAGATACCGACAAAAAGTTATCAATTAATTGGCCTAAGAATTTTAAAAGTTTTATTAAAAATTAATTTATTTTTTTATCTTTCTAAAGGATTTTTTATTAAATATATTTTTATATTAAACACACTCGTTATCTTACACCCCCTTAAACACAAACACACCTCTCATCACACCAACTAATAGTTCTATATACACTCCATTATCCCTCGGTAGCACCTTATCCTCTTTGTAATTTCTTCACTTCTCTACAAATTGCAATGTTCGATGTAGCAATACCCTCGGCTCTATAACTGATGTCTTGTTTCAAACTAATGTCTTTGACCTCTCCTCGACCAAGTGACACCGAAGTGTATTAACCTGATGAAGCATGTGTCAATGACTCTTCACATATTCTCATACCTCCAACATAATTCAATAATACTATCACACCTAAACATCACATGATAACATAATCCTTGACTTTTATGCTACCAGAAGCTCTCCACTTAGACTTATTGAACCTACAACCATCACCCAAACCCAAAAATTTTCACACTAGCGTAAAATGTGTGAAGAATATGATCTCATACTCCATAATGCCACATGAACTATTATACCATTTCAATTTCACTGCACACAAAATATCATTAGGTGTAAGTGGATCTTTCGAATTAAGCAGAACCTATATGGATTTATTGTTAGATACAAGACACATCTAGTAATAAAAGGATTTCATGATCAAGTGTTGGCTTCATAGCAATATTTAGTTCAATTATTAAACTGATAACAATCTGGCTTATCTTGAGTTTGATTATTAATCAAGACTAGCACATATGCCAATTGGATGTTAACAATGCTTTCTTACAAGGGACCCTAACTAAAGATATCTTTATACATCAGCCTTCTAATTTTATCCATCCTCAATATCCAAACAATATTTTCAAACTACGAAAAGCTATTTATGAACTTTGCTAAGCTCTAAGAACTTAATATACGAAACTTGGCTCATTTTTTTTGCGTCAATTGGTTTCATCAACTCCAAGTCTAATATATTGTTATTTCTATGACAACAAAAGAAAAGTACTATATATGTACTGGTGTATATAGATGACATTATCATTATAGGTAATAATCCTATTAAGATTAAGGAATTCCTTAAGTAGTTGGTAAATCAATTATTTATCAAAGATCTGGAAACTTTAAGTTATTTTTTGGGAGTGAAAGCAACGTTCATATCTTTTGGATATTTCCTATCTAAAAAAAAGTATATTCAAGATCTACTATCAAAGACGAATATGCAGAATGCCAAAGAAGTTATCATACCACTTTTTACTACTGAGTCACTCAAATTATATGATGGTAGTCCTACTACGGATCCCACACAATATTGATAAATTATTGGCTTCTTATAGTACTTATCTCTCACACATCTAGACATCTCATGTGCAGTCAATAAATTATTATAATTTATGCATCGACCCTCCACTACGCATTGGTCTATAGTAAAACGAGTCCTATAATATCCAAAAGGAACTTTAAATTATAGACTTTTTCTTAGTAAACATTCTTAATCTCTATGCCTTCGTCGATAATATCTTGGGCAAGCAACATCAATAATAGAATGTTTACATCAGCTTATATTATCTTCCTTAGAGCAAATCCAATCTTGTTACTTGACTCATAGTGACAACACCATCTGGCGTAGAATTACTAAGGGAAACCACCAGTGTCTCCCAACTTTCTAGTAATAAACTGAGAAATAACAATGCCTACAACTCATCATCAAGAGATATTTTCATAGAGGATAACTGGTTAGTAATACTTTGCATTTCATTCAAATGTTCAGCAATAGAAGCACCCTCTTTATATTTTAGGTTCACAAGTTTTCTGATCAAAAAAGCTTTGTTGCCAGCTGTTTTTCTTTCATAGAGACTTTCCAACTTTTTCCAAAGAGAATATACAAAAATTTTAATAGAAACATGGTGAAAGACACTATCATCAAGCCATTGTCGAATAAATCCAATTGTTTTTCGGTCTAACCTCTTCCACTCATCATCTGCCATAGTTGTAGGTTTTGCACTATCCCCCTGCAAAGGTCCATAGTAGGAGTTCTATGAAATAGAAAATAATAATAAAATCCACCATTTAAGTTGAATACCTAGTTATCGCCACCATTGTTACAAAACTCAATTGGATCAGTAATTTACTACAAGAACTTAACGTCACCTCCAAATCCACTCCTATAATATACTGTAATAATATATATACCACATACTTATGCACCAATTCAATATTCCGCTCACGCACGCATGAAGTACGTTATCATCGACTTCTATTTCGTTATAGATGTAAAATTTATCTCTTTTATAGCTTGATGTTATAACAACAACACATAACATAGAATGATAGCAAGTTCTTCGCCGGACAAAGGTTCTATAGTAATTGTGTAAAGTCATGTTCGGACAACTAAGTGCAGGATTTAGAAAGCAAATATCCAAACTTACAGTTTGGAGGGTTTAGTTTTAAGAGTCATATTGTCCAAACTTGAACGATGATACTAATTGCTTTAATATCTAGTCGAAGACGACAGCAAACTATTGCAAATACTGTTGCGCAAAACCTCTTTTCAATACTAACTCGTCTTCCAGCGATATCTACTGAAGTTTTGATTCCATACAGCCTTTTAAGTTTGCAGCGTTTCTATGTATCTTTGTTGATAGTTTTTTAGCTCACTAAACCTATCCTATCTTGAAATAATGTTGCGGTGGGCTATTTGTCTTTCTTGTCTTCTGCAGGAGCCATTGGCGTCCAGTTTTTGCAGCAGCCATGCATACCTGATTGATTGACAAGATGGTGTTAGTCACAAGATCAGGTTAAGAAACTCCCAAGCGCAATATTTAATTGTTATGACGCATCATGATTAGTTTTGCTTCTCATTCATTGATCAGATTAGTGATTTATATCATCATTAGTTTTCAGCTATATCTGATGTTGTATTTAAGGAATGCCATGTGAGGATAGTAATTATGATAAGACTCGAGTGACGTCAGATGATGCCTCACGCAACAGCACCTGATCAATGCAGACTGGAACATCGACCGAGGCACATTAACATCCTGCCAAAGCTCAATTCTTCACGCCACGCCAACACAAAGTCAGACGCTACCAGCTTGCCCCTGTAAGCGGGCAGCTCAAGAAGCAGTATGCTTCCCTATAAATACCCTCTCGTTCATTAGAAAAGAGGGGGGGGGGGGGAGAACAGACACAAAAAAAACACTTCTTCATTTGAAACCCCCTCCACATACGCTAACTTGATCGTCGGACGGGTCGGGCCGAGCGCCTCGGCCCGACCTTTGTGCATGTGCGAAGCCGAAGGACCCCTCCGGACACGCAGGCGAGGAGTTCCTGCCCGGAGGAGACGGCCACACCGTCCCGATCGAACACCGCACCCGACCGCCTCAGCGGGCTCGACGAACGCCCTAGGGAGGTCCCCGTCGTCCAGACCCGAACCGAGCCGCATCGGCCCCGAGGCCACGGCTCAAAGTTGTTTCCCACAACAGATTGGCGCTAGAAGGAGGGCCCGGAATGTTGGGTGACCACTCGAGCGGCTCAGATGAGCCCACGGCTGAGAGGTCACACCCGACCGAAGCCTCGGGGGAACCTCCCCCGCACGGAGACCATCGTGACGAACACCCCGCCACAACCTCCGAACGATATTGGCGAATATTCAACGACCCAGGCTTACCGCCGCTCAACGGCACCCCAGCCGACTCAACGCCCATGTCGTCCGAGGCCTTTCACGACCTCGCTCTTCAAGTCCAAGCCCTGATGGAAATGGTGCAAACCATTATCCCGCTCATTTCTCATCCGGCGCACCCGCTTGTGATCGAACTGTTGAATCTCGGATTTTGATGATGAAATCAATTGATGGGTTAATTGATCTAATCCATATTATTGAGTTAAGTGTGCAGGATTAACTACGATAACCAGAAAACACAAAGCAAGAATACCGGAGTCAAGATCGATGGATGTTTAAGAGTCTGAAGAATCGTCGGAG